CTTCCAGGCTGTTATGCCTGTCTCCAGTGCCTCAACCAATGGTCCATGCACACAGGTATAAGCCTCTATGCTTTGTGTTTTTAGTTGCTGTAGACAGATCTTCCCTCTGGCTGGCCTAATGCCAGGGTAGTGTTTGCCAGTTTGCGAGCCCAATGGGGCTGGCTGGGAGAAAGGTGCAGTAGGGTGCCTATCACGGAAGGGATCCTTGGAGCCGTGTAGCCAGCCAGGGAGCTGGAGCACCTGAAGATCATGAAAGCTCCCAACCTGCTGGGCAGAGTACACCTGGACAATTTTGTCTACTTGTCCTGAGCAGTAAGCTCTGTGAAGTCCTTGCCCCTTTTAGCAGCCCTCTTGCTAAGGGCTTCCTTGTTAGAAAGTCTTTCAGACTGCCTGCCTTTCTTTTGTCCCAGAGCAGCCTGATATGGGTCCTTGCTTTCCACAAGCTCCTGGAATCTCAGTGTCTCCAGGAATTCTGCCTGTCTTTGCTTTCCAACCCCCTTATCATGAGAGTATCATGCAAGCACCATGAAATGTAGGTTTTTGCTCCCAGAGCAGATCTCTAGAGTTAGGTATTCAGCAGTCCCAGGCCTCCACTCCCTCCCAGCTCTGTTTCTCTTCCTCCTGCTGGTGATCTGGGGTAGGGGAAGGGCTTGGGTCCTGCCACGCCACAGCTTTGGAATGTTACCGTGTTCCATGACATCTGCTCTTTTCTCCAGATGTATGCAATCTGGCACAGTCCTCTTTCCTGTTGCTCTTTCAGGATTGGTTGTATTAATTATATTTTCATATTACGTGCAGTTTCAGGAGGAAGCCTCTGTCTCACCTCTTACACCACCATCTTTAATCCTATGTGAGGAATAAAATATTTACAGAGTCTCGTTATGTCCCCACAAATGACTTATTAATTACATAGGGAAAATTGGTTACTTTACAGTGGAGAGACCTGAGAGAAACTACTTTAACTAAATGACCAAAAATATAAAAATTTCAATTTGAAAATTCCTCATAATCTCACCTTGTGGAAATAATCATCTTAACAGTTAAGTAAATATCCTTCAGGAACTTTGAAGTGTTTTTAGATATGACTAATTGTTCCAGAGCATTTGTTGAGAACAGTATTCTTCTCCTATTGAATATCCTTGATAGCTTTGTCAGACATCAATTGACCATATATGTGTTGGGCCTATTACTAAACTTTTTTTTGTCTGATGTTTATTTTTTTAAAATACCACACTGTCATGAGACCTGTGGCTTTATACATCCTCTTTTTTCAAAATTCCTTTTATTATTCTAGGTCTTTTGCATAAATTCTACCTTATTATGTTGTTCGGGTCTTCTATATCATTACTTTTTTTTCTGTCCACTGAATCTGTTTCATTCAGTAGACAGGGCTTATATCGTTACAGAGTGTCCTACTTTCTCTCATACAGTTGCTTTTGGAATTCTAGTTTATTTTTCTGCTTTCAACCCCTGTTTTTATACTGTTTTCATTTGATTTCTTTGTCCATCTCTGGTATACAGTATTGTGTTAGGTTCTGCTTTATGAGGCAATGTGAAAACTTTTTTCTGTTAATAGGCAACGTAAGCCCAATCACATTTATTTGTATTAACTGTTTGGTAATATAAATTATACAAATATGTTTGGTGTCAATTCTCTCATTTTATCTTAGATGTAATTACTGTGAATATAGGTTATATTTACTATGTTTTTTTCTCTATTGAGTCTTTCCTCCAAATTTTTTTGGTAAGGTTTTGGAACATTTGTACTTTTATGCTGGTGGTTACCTTTGTGTTAATACTGTCAACCCTTTTCTTTTTTCTTTCTTCTTAAGTACTTACTTATACAAGTTGTGTATATTTAAGGTGAACAACATGATGATTTGAAATACTTATACATAGTGAAATGATTACTACAGTCAAGCTTATTGGCATATCATCTCCTCACATAGTTATCATTTTTTGTGTGATGTGTATACCTGAAATTTACTTTTAGCATATTTCCTGTAGAGTGTAAATATAGCCATCATGCCTATATGTTAGGCTTTATTCATCCTGCATAACTGTAACTTCATACTGTTTGACCAGTATCTCCTCATTGCTGCCATTCCCCTGCTAACCTCCATTTTACTCTCTGCTTCTATGAGTTTGCTACTTTTTTCCCCCAGATTCCACATATGGGTGAGATCATGCAGTATTTGTCTTTCTCTGACAATTTCACATAGCATAATACCTTCCATGTTGATCCGTGTTGTCACAAATGGCAGGATTTCCCTTTCATGGCTGAATAATATACTTGTGTGTGTGTGTGTGTGTGTGTGTGTGTGTGTTTACCACATCTTTATCCATTCATCTGTTGATAGGCACTTAAATCGTTTCCATATCTTGGCTGTTATGAATAATGCTGCAGGGAATGTGGGAGTGCAGATATCCCTTCCTGATCTTGAGTTCAATTCTTTTGGGTAAATACCCAGAAGTGGGATTGCTGGATCATATGGTATTTTCTATTTTCAATTTTTTGAGGAACTTCCATACTGTTTTCCAGAATGACTATACCAATTTACCTTTTTTCTTTATTAATCTTATCATCTAATTTGTCTCTCACCTATACCTATACAACAGTCGATTGTCTTATTCAGCTTTCCCCTATTTCTTGCTCTTTTCCTCCCATTTTTTAATTGCAGTTTTTCTACTTTGTCAGAACACTAAATGTTTCTATACTGTCCTTCAATCCATGACCCAGCCTTGTTTTAGTCTTAGCTTTACAATTAAATACATGAAATGCTCACTGTCAGTCCTTCTGCCAAAACATTTCCATTCAGTTTTTTGGTTGACTGAAGCTCTTTGTCTAGTACAGTGCTGTCCAGTAGAACTTCCTGCGGTGATGGGAATGTTCTTCTGTATCTATGCTGTCCAGTACTGTAATTAGCCACATGTGGTTATTGAGCACTGGGAATGTGCCTGGTGTATCTGAAAGTTGAGTTTTCTTTTCTATTCCATTTTAATTAATCAAAATTTAAATATCAATAGCCACATGTGGCTGGCAGCTACCATATTGGACAGTGCAGCTCTATTAAATTCTTTAGGAAGGGAACAAGTATTCTGGAATATTCAACTATTTTTCTAATGGTTTTAATGTTTGAAGGATGTCTTGGCTAGAAATATAATTTCCTTTGTATTTTCTTAAGTTTCTTGAAAATGCCATTCTACTATTGCTTTGCCTTGTATGTTTTTTGTGTGTGTGAGAAACTGATGCCTGTCTAATTCTCTTGGTTTGTAAGTTGTTTCATCTTTTTGACTGAAGGCTCTGAAGGATTTTTTATTTGTCTTTAAATTCTAATAGTTTTATTAAGACATATCTCAGAGTTAATTTTCTAGGTTAATTTTCTTTGGTACCTAGTGGGCCCTTTGATTGTGTTTGTTTTATGGTCCAGAATATGGTCTAGCATGGTGAATATGCCATGTAGACTTGAAGAAACTGTTAATCTCTCTATTTTCGTGTAGAATGTTCTGCAAAGTCAGTTGGTTGGTGGTGTTCAGTTTTTCTATATCCTTGTTCATTTTCTGTCTGCTAGGAGAGAGGTGTTGAAAGTCAGCAGCCGTAATTGTGGATTTGCCTGTTTCTCCTCTCAGTTCTTTCCATTTGGCTTCATGTATTTTGAAGGTGCAGTCTTAGGGTGGTCTCCCCCATTCTCCTGCTCCCAGGATGCTCCATTCCTTGTCCTCTGGCTGGACAGTTGGGGTATCAGTCTCTCCACTCTGGCACTCACTTTCTACAACTAGGTTTGCTTTTAGGGCCAAGTGGTGGGGGTTAGGAAGAAGGAAATGAGGTTCCTTTCCCACACTCTTCAGACCACTATACCTCTGGCCACAGAAAAGTATCCTTTCCTTTAGAGTCTGAGATGCCTGCTACTGCAAGACTAGGTCTGGCACTGGGGCTTACTCTGAGGCAGGATGCATGAGAAAAGATATTTCTCCCGTGTTCTCTGTCCCATAGGGCCAACCCTCTCAAGTCTTCTAGTCATACTGGTGTTCCTGATGGCCCTGTACTTGCTGCTTCTCTCAAGATCTTTGTTCTCTCTTAGCCCACCACTTCATTCTGGTGGCTTCAGCTAGTACTAAAATGCTATTGTTTCCCAATCCTTGGTCTATCCTAGCCTTCTCTTGAACCCCAGAATCATATCTACTTGATAGCTGGATGTCTCTATCTGTGCCATAAACACTCCAGCTCTGGTTCAAGATCTGTCTCACTTTCCCCTTCTGCCAACCCATTGTCTTTCCTGTTTTGCTAATCTCAATATATGGCATCAGCCTCAACCTAGCTGTTCATGTCATTAACCTGGGAGTAATATTCTCTCCCTTTCTTCCACTGTGTGGTACTTCTATATAACTATAAATATATTGTGAGAAGTTCAGAAAATATTCTGATGGTGTAAGGAGTCAAGTATTATAGAGACTAAACATCTATAGGGGGGAAAAAAGTTGAAAGTCCCTCCACTGCCTGACTGTGTCTGTTGCCCCATGTTTGTGAGGAAATGTTATTCCCGTTAAACCTCCCCAAGTGAAGTTCAATCTGATAACACAAAGGAGAATTCTGTTCCACCCCTTGTGAAAGCCCATCATGCCCTGTGCACATTTCCCCATAGCTCCTGTAACAGCTCACCACAGATATGTATTCATATACAAGTCTCCTTACTGGGCAATGAGCTCCTTGACAGAAGGTACACCATCTTACTCCTTTTGGTTTCCCCACTGACTGAGACAGGTCCATGCACAGAGTGTTAACTCAGTAGTCAGTAGTCTTTTCTTCATGAATTGATAAATTAACACAGTAACAGGCTGGTTCTGGGTTCCCCACAAAGTATAATACCAAGCAAGACACAGAGTTTGGTGTCCAGTGGAGCTTTTTATAGTCAACTCTCAATAGTGCTCTTTTGAGAGAATTAGTTCCCACACAGCTTTTCCATGTGTCCCATTCTGATCATTGAAGATTGTTGTTACAGGGTTCTGTGTCATTTGAGGACGTGGCTGTGCATTTTACCCGACAGGAGTGGCACAGACTGGACCCTGCTCAGAGGACCATGCACAAGGATGTAATGCTGGAGAACTACAGCAACTTGGCATCTGTGGGTAAGGATTCTTGTCTGTATAACTCTTGGTTGCATGTATTTCCTTATGTGGTTACTATAGTGTGTGTAGCCTTATAGACTTTAATGATACTTTAGTCTTAAATTCAAGGGTCACAGATGATCAGTTTGGGGCACCAGAAAGAATGTGTGTGTTCTCACTTCTCCCACTGAAAGATTTAAATGGGCCCCCTTCCTTGTGCAGCTCATGAAGATGCACCTTCTTCTTCCATCAGAATCCCTAAAGCTCAGACAATTTGGCCCATGTCCTGTGCCATTTCCCATTAACAGGCCTCTGCATGGCCAAACCAGAGATGATCTTCAAGTTGGAGCGAGGAGAAGAACTGTGGATATTAGAGGAGGAATCCTCAGGCCGCGGATACCTAGGTGAGTGAGCAAGAACTAGACATGTAGAAAACAGGAAATAAGAACACTGGAATTAAGGTCAAAACACTTGGGGCAGATTTTTCAGGAGTGTCTTTTTAGAGGCCCCCTGGTTCTTTGAAAATGACTGGAGGGAAGAAGGTATACATGCTTCAAATACCTAAATCACACATGTCAATATAACTGCTCATACTTAAGTGTTCTCTCCTACTTTATATTGATTTTTTGTGGCTATTTACCACTCTTATCTGTTCCTGCCCACCCCATTTTAAACATCTATTCTTAGCTAGACACTTTCTCTTTAGTATTCTCAATTGTCTTCCTTCCCTCCATCGCCTTGGATGCCTTCTGTTGTCAGGCATTCATTCATGCATCCATTTACTGATCCATCAAATCTTAAATGAGTGTCAACTATATTCTGGTCATGTTCTAGGTATGGGGATCCAGCAGTGAATAAATTAATATCTCTGTTCTCTTGGAGCAGAGTTGAATACAGTCTGATGCGGGAAAGAGACCAGAGGTAAACACATAACATTTGGTGGTGAAAAGAAAATCAGTGTGCGAGAGGCATAGACAATGCTGGGGTATGTGCTTTTAGGGAATGTGGTTGGGAAATTTTTCGGTAAGGTTGACATTACTGCACCAACATCAGTGAAGTGAGAGGTGCAACCATGTATATGTCAGAGAGAGAACACTAAGTGCCAAGCCTAGTTTGAGTGACATATCCCAGGAATACCAATGGTGCTGTTGTAGCTTAAGGGTAGGTGATGAGAGTGTTAAAAGGTGGTTATCAGAGAGTTAGGTAGGAGCCAAATTATGTGAGTTTTCTAGGCTCTGTTAATCACTTTAATTTCCCTACTGTAACAAGGGACACCATTGTTAGGTCTCAAGTGAAAGTGTGATCTGATCTAATTTGTTTTTAAAGGATCTCTCTCACTGCTGTGTGGCAACAATTCTGTTGGGGGTAATGCTCTTAGTCATGATAATGACCTTCTTCACCATCAGAAAATTCAAACTTTGGATCAAAGTGTTGAATACAGAGGATATGGGAAAGTCTTCTACAAGAAAACAGGCTTTGCTGGACATAAAAGAACACATACAGGAGAAAAAAACTTTGAATGTCATGAATGTGGGAAAACTTACTGCAGGAAATCAAACCTTATTGAACATCTGAGAAAACATACAGGGGAGAGACCCTATAGATGTAGTGAATGTGTGAAAACCTTTAGTGCAAGATCATACCTCATTGCTCATCAGAAAACCCACACAGGGGAGAAGCCCTTTGAATGTAATGAATGTAGGAAATCTTTTGGCAGGAAGTCACAACTCCTTCTACATCAGAGAACACACACAGGAGAAAGACCCTATGAATGTACTGAATGTAGTAAAACCTTTTCTGAGAAGGCAACCCTCATGATTCATCAGAGAACTCACACAGGGGAGAAACCCTATGAATGTAGTGAATGTGGGAAAACTTTTCGCGTTAAGATATCCCTTACCCAACACCAAAGAACTCATACAGGGGAGAAACCCTATGAGTGTGGTGATTGTGGGAAAAACTTCCGTGCAAAGAAATCCCTAAATCAACATCAAAGAATTCACACAGGTGAGAAACCTTATAAATGTAGTGAATGCGGAAAATTCTTCAGAATTAAGATGACTCTCAGTAATCATCAGAGGACTCACACAGGTGAAAAACCCTATCAGTGTAATGAATGTGGGAAATCTTTTGGGGTGCATTCATCTCTCAGGATACATCAGCGAATTCACACAGGAGAGAAACCTTATGAATGTATTAAATGTGGTTATGCCTTCTATGTTAAAGCACGCCTCATCGAACATCAGAGAATGCATTCAGGAGAGAAACCCTATGAATGTAGTGAGTGTGGAAAAATTTTCAGTATGAAGAAATCCCTTCGTCAACACCAGAGAACTCACACAGGAGAGAAACCTCATGAATGTGGTGAATGTGGAAATGCCTTCTATGAGAAATTACGCCTCATTGAACATCAGCGAATTCATACAGGAGAGAGACCCTTCAAGTGTCAAGAATGTGGAAAAGCCTTCTACCGGAAAGCACACCTCACAGAACATCAAAGAACTCATGTAGGCCGGCACTTGTGTTGTACCATGAAGAAAGCTTCTCTGTGAAGACTCCCCTCACCATTTGATCAGACCCTTTGAGCCATCTGACCATCAGGGCACACAGAGTGCACCTGTAACAATTTGGCTTTTATGCTGGTGTGAAAATATGTCCTGATCCCATTAAGGAGTAGCTCATTGTTTTCATTTCTTTTGGATTTCCCTAGTTAATGGTGAGGTTGAACATCTTATCTGTTGATTGACCATTTGGGTTTTTTTTTTTTTTGCATTGACTGTACATATCCATTGCTCAGTGTTTTCTAATGGGCTGTTTATCTTTTACTTCTTGGTTTAAGTGTTATTTTTTCATTTGTGAGAATATAAAAATCATTTTCAGTCATGTGTGTTGCAAATATCGCCTCCTGGACTTTGGCTGGTTCTTTAATTTCATGAACTCTTTTCTTCTGGTGAGGTTTTATGTTCTAATATTACCAGTTTCAATGTGATAATATTCTCCTATACTTTTCTCTAAAGTTTTCCTTTCAATATTTAGAATTTTAATCTACCCTGAGTTTTTTTCTGTGTATAGTATAAAGTATGCAGTATGGAAAACTATACTGCAATTTAAACCTTCACATAAATGGTATCACACTATGTTTAAAGTTCTGCAGCTGGCTCTTTTCATGTAATGTTATACAATTGTGTATGAACGTGATTGTCCACAATCAATCCGTGTTAATAAATATGTCTGGTTTATTCATTTATCTCTTCAGTCCCCTCATGAAAGACATTTGAATTGTTTCTATGTTCAGTATCTAAATCTAGAAGCAGAACTGATGGGTCGCCAAGTGTAGGCAGTGTGCAGTTATTATGTTGTGCCCTAGTGCCAAATCCACCTTTGTAAGACTTTGTTTTGTGATTCTGGTATGTGACACTACAAAAAGTGTTTCTGCCTTGCCAAGTGCTCCCTGTTGGACCTTGCCAAGAAGAGATGCTAACTGTAAACTCTGAGCCTGGGGAAGGAAGAAGGGACTTGATCCATTTTTGTTCTTCCCCTTGGCTCTCTCTTCATCTGAGTGTCAGCTGGCATTGCTTTTTACCTTGGGAAAAGCAGTTCCTCATGGCAGCAGCAGATTAATCCAGTGTGTGGTTTTCCCACATGCACAGAACAGCTTTCTGGCACCCCACACACTCAGACTGGTGCCATCTCCTTAGAGATATGACTTCGGCCACATGAAACCCGTCTTCCCTTCTCCTAATTTTTAATAATTCCAATTTCTTCCCTTGTTACCATAACCTGGCAGGTACCAGTTGCTACCTCCATGATAATTTTAATGTTTGCTTTTTGTTTTTTAGTTATGTGATTAATAACTTCATAACTAGTTAAAAATTCTTTATAATAAGTTCTCTCTGTTAAAAGAACTGGTATGGTTTCTGTCTCCTAGCTGGGTTCTGATTGATGCAGAATTTTTTCAGCTTTATTCAATAATGGAATTTTTCCCTCTAAATTGTACTAATTTATACTCTCATGAGCAGTTTAAGAGAAGTTTACATTTTCCTATATAGTTACCAGTACTTATTATCAGTCTTTCAAATTGCTACTAATGTGAAAGGCAAAAAATGGCCTTAAGTCTTTCCATCCATAAATGTGGTTCTGTAAAGGAGTGCAGAGAGCATCAAGAGTCAGAAAACCCTAGAGCAATAGCCACCCAGTTTTCGTAGAAACTACCCAAAGCTAACACGCCTGCCTTAAGTTAGATAACCAGAGGTGGGCAGTAGCCTCGGGACATAACCTGTGATAAGTCACAAAGACATGTTTGTGTGAGGTAGAGATAACGGGAAGCGGTTAGGTAACCGGGGCATTCCTGTTTCAACTCCATTGGCTAAAATGTAGAATGTGTTTTAATTCATTGGTTGTGGTAATGCGCGGGCTTCGGTGCAATGGCTGCAAAAACCCTATATATTCCCTACCTAAAGTTGCTTGGGGGTCAGCAGCTCGGACTCGGCCTGTGTGTCAGGGGAGGTGCTGTCGGCCCCAGCTTGCTGGCTGAATAAAGACTTTGCTTGGATTTACATCTCTGTGTCCATGTGGCTTGTTCTCTGGGGAAACCCCGGAGTCCTGGACCCTAACATTTGGGGGCTCGTCCGGGATCCGAGTGCCTTCCCTGAGAACAAAGGATGGCTGGAGGCAAGGTCTAATTGTCTGGATGAGGCAGTGTAATTCGAGGGTCGCCCCCTCGTGTCTGCATAAATCCATTATAAAGCGGGAGTCGCCATCCCGTGTATGGTCTTGGGTTAGTGACCCCGAGTGAGGAAGTCCAGGTTGGTAGTCCCGGCCCCCAGGTTAGTGACCCTGGGTGAAGTCCAGGTAACCAATCCTGGCCCTAGGGTCCGAGTGACTCGGCCTTAGGAAGGCAAGTCCAATCGGCAGGAACCTGGCGCCCGAGGAGGAAGAAATTGAGCTCGTCACTCTGCGGCAGTCCGAGTGCACGCCTTTCGGGAGAATCACGAGAGTTTTTGAGGATCCTGAAAGTGGTAAGTGTGGTGCACACCAGAGTGAAAGAAGGACCGGTCCGAGCGAGTGCGATCAGATGTGGTGTGTGTGCTTAGTGTTATCATTGATTGTTTTATTGTGTTTTGGTTTTGGTCTATATTTCTTTCTGTGCTTTTCATTTTAAGTTTCCCTGTTCTAAGGTTCTCCTGTTCTTTCCGTTCCTCCTTTCTGCCACTAAATCATTCCCCACGGGCACGGGTCAGGCAATTAAGAGCCATTAGGGCGCCCGCTGCTAGAAGACTCCAGTGACAGGATAAGGGGGTCATAGCCGCGAATCCCAGATAAATTCGCGTCCCCCGCAGAAGAAAAACTGTGCAACAACAGGCACCCGTTCACAAGCACATACACCAGTCATCTTGTTAGAGTGGCATCTCTATCTTTCGCCTTTGTCTTCCTCGTATTTTTCACTATGGGCCAGACTCAGGCTACTCCTAAAGGTCTGATCCTTTCCCATTTCCCGAAGGTCAAGGAACGGGCCTTAAATATGGGCCTTGGCATCAAGAAAGGTAAGCTCGACACCTTTTGCTCGGCCGAGTGGCCTTCCTTTGGAGTAGGCTGGCCGACCCAGGGGTCTCTTTCCCTGGACCTTATCGGCAAAGTCAAGGCCATTATCTCCCTGCCAGACCCTGAGGGCCACCCTGACCAATTTCCCTATATCCTTGTATGGGAAAATCTGGTTGAGAAACCTCCTTCCTGGCTGGAGCCCTTTTTGGTGGGGAAACCTCACACCGACCCACTAAAGACCTCTGTCCTAGTCACCCAGGAAGAATTAAAGCCCTCTGATCGCAAGGCCAGAAACCCTGTGCGCCCGAGTGTGCCGCCTGTTCTCCCTGACAGTTCTCCCCTCTACCCCCCTCTGCCGATTGAGCGACCACCCCCATATGTGGCTCCGTGGGAGGGAGGGGGTGAAGCCGCCGGGGGGTAGAAAACGAGGTTAGAGTGCCTAGCAGGTAGACGGCCGCAGCTTCTCCAGACTCTTCAGCAAGAGAAGATAGGAGACCAAGGAGAGCGGGAGGAATGGCCGCAGCTTTTCCAGGCTCTCCAGCAAGAGAAGGCAGGAGGCCAGGGATAGCGGGAGGAATGCAGTTAAGGCCTCGGGGGGCCAGGGAACAGGAAGGGGAGGCTCCCTCCTCCACCTCAGAAGGAGCAGTGCTGGTCCTGCCTGTGCGTGCCATCGGTGCAGGCAATCGGACGGAGCTCAACAATATCAGTACTGGCCCTTTTTGTCTAGTGACCTTTATAATTGGAGGACTCAGAACCCCCCCTTCTCGGAGGACCCCAAGTGTCTTATAGTCCTGGTGGAGTCCATTATGTTTACCCATTGTCCCACATGGGACGACTGCCAGCAATTGCTCCGCACCCTCTTCACGACAGAAGAGCGAGAGCGTATCCTCAATGAGGCCAGGAAAAATGTCCTTGGAGAAAATGGAAGACCCACTACTCTCCAGCCCATCATCGACGATGTGTTCCCACTTACGTGCCCAAATTGGGACTTCGGGACTGCAGAAGGTAGGGAGCGTCGCCGGGTCTACCGCCAGACTCTGATGATCGGTCTCCAGGCAGCTGCAAGGCGGCCCACTAACCTGGCTAAGGTAAAAACTATTGTTCAGGGGGAAATAGAAAGCCCGGCCGCATATCTGGAAAGGCTGTTTGATGCTTACAGGCAATATACCCCATAAACCCAGAAGCAGAGGAACATAGGTCAGCTGTAGTCCTCTCATTCATCAATGAGGCAGCCCCCGATATCTGGAGGACACTCCACAAACGGGATGACCTGGGGGTGATCTCTATTAGAGAAATGCTGCAGCAAGCAGAGACAGTCTTCAATGCTAGGGAAACTCCGGAAGACAGAGAGGAAAGGCTGAGGAAAGAGAAATGGGAAATGCAGGAGAAAAATAGGAAAGAAGACAGAGAATTTCAGAGGAGGGAGAACAAGAAGCAGAGGGAGGAGATGGCCAGGATATTCCTGGCCGGGGAGAAGGAGAGCCCTAGACCACCTCAAAGAACGGGACCCTGCCAACCCCGACTAGGACGAGATCAATGTGCCCTGTGTAAGAGATATGGACATTGAAAGAGGGAGTGCCCCAAAAGGAGGGAACAAGGAGGAGGGAACCCCATTAAGACCCTGCACCTAGGAGAGGAGAATTGACGGGGACGGGGCTTGGCAGCCCTTCCCGAGTCCTGGGTAACCCTGTGTGTGGAGGCAACTCCCATTGGGTTCATGGTAGATACTGGGGCACAATATTCAGTTCTCAACCAAGCCCACAGTCCCCTGATCCCAGGACACACAAGTATAGTCCAGGGAGCGACAGGGTCCAAGAAATGTGCCTGGACTACAAACCGAAAAGTGGACCTAGGAAGGCATCAGGTCTCTCACTCATTTCTAGTCATACCCGAAAGCCCCGTACTGCTGCTGGGCAGAGACTTATTAACCAAGGTCAGGGCGCGCATCCATTTCGAACCCGAGGGGATAAAGATCATGGACAAAGAGGGGCAGCCCCTACCACTGGTGCATGTGTTGACTCTGTCTCTGGCCAGTGAACATCATCTGTTTCAGGCAGATCAAGAAAAGGGGGGCCAGGGAGAAATGGACTCTTGGTTGCAGAGGTTCCCTTCCGCATGGGCCGAAACCGGAGGAATTGGTCTCACCAAACATCTGCCCCCGGTTGTTGTTCAACTCAAAGCCGTGGCCCTACCCATCCGGGTCTGGCAGTATCCAATACCGGAAGAGGCTAGAAAAGGAATAGCACCCCATATCCACAGACTGTTGGAGACAGGAATCCTTAAACCCTGCCAATCTGCATGGAATACGCCCCTGCTTCCAGTAAGGAAGCCTGGCAGTGGAGATTACAGACCAGTGCAGGACTTGCCAAAGGTCAATGAGAGGGTAGAAGACATCCATCCTACAGTGCCCAACCCTTACACCCCGCACATGTGTGGTATACTACTCTGGACCTGAAAGACGCCTTCTTCAGTATCCCACTCTCTGAAGTTAGTCAGCCTTTGTTTGCCTTTGAGTGGCAGGAGCCAGGGGGAGGAAGAAAAGGGCAGCTTACCTGGACTAGACTGCCACAGGACTTCAAGAACTCTCCCACCTTATTCAATGAAGCCCTAAGCCAGGACCTGGAGCCCTTTCGCAGGAGCCACCCCTGTGTGACACTGCTGCAGTATGTGGATGACCTGTTGCTGGCCACAGAAACCCGTGAGGAG